GAGATAATGATATTCATAAGCATAAATAATAATGCACATTACCCCTTGGACCGTTTTTCGTGAAGCATTTTGTTATTGGGCTATACACTTGGCACAGTAAAGGTAGTAACTCCGTATACGTTCCAGTATTGAATTTATCTTTAGCGCATAGTACATTTGCGCGGTGTGCCTGGCAGGTTGAACGTCTCCGACTCGTCATCCATTTCCACAATTTTACCCGTAACCATAACACCTAGCCACTCCCTGACATACCTGTAATGGACTAGACATTGTCAGAAAGACGTTCTTAAACATTATCACAGATTAAAAATGTCACGATCAGGTAAACCAATACGAATAATTATTTGTGAAATTATATTGGATTTTGTTTTTTCGGTTCAAACAAAAACGAAAAATGTATGCATGAGTTGACTGCGTAATTTCAAAATTATACAACTTTACATATTTATTTCATATGACGTGAAGCTAAGTATTTGTACTGTCATTCCCGGCATGATACGATAACATTGCAGTTTAATATTTTGAACAATTGTCTGGCGTTAGTAAGCATTCTGCCACAGGTATATTTCGGTGATTACATTTTAAGTTATGATTTTAAATTGTTACAATGAAAACAAATCTTTGTTTTTCTACTGCTTTTAGAGTGTGTTTTCAGCGGAGCAATAGCTATCAATATAATATACAATATATATTTGAGTGTTCAACAAAACTACTTGCTTAAATGTTGATGAGCATCAACCGCTATTATATACATCGATAAATAATTAATCGTGTCCTCACCTCTCTTTCAGCCCCGCAGCATCAGCGATTTCCTGTGACGTTTTCCCTTCGCCCATATTTTCCATTGCCTGAAATAATCCCGTAGTTGAACCGAACGCAATACCAACACTAAGAAAACCGGAATTCAGGTGTTGTAAAATGATTCTAGAGAACATGTCGGCAGTTTCAGTGGACGTCATCGTTGATGATATCTGTGATTGCTATAATGGAGTAGAATGCTCCAATATCCGTGATAATAACTAAAACGAGAATGATACGTCGACTAATGCGACCCGGATGATGGAGTTTGTAACAGGTGGTGTTTATATAATCATGTCAACCTTTATTCATATTGTACCACAATGACGACTCAATACCAGTAATCCCTATACATGTACCAGATATCGAAGTTAGCGAGTTTTAGTGATCATGACTCGCAAACCCCTTAGATCCGTAGATACATGTATTGTAGTAATACACTTCGCCTATATCTAAGCTTTTAGAGAATGTACAGGATGTTATAGGAGTATCTTTTGGAGAATGTCTGATTTGTGTCAAAATTACTTTTATCAACTATTACACACAAAATCTAGATAATCATATTCCCTAAAGTAGTACCAAATCGATTAGAACAAGTTTAACTCGGACAATCTTATAAATAATGCGGAGAAGTAGTTGCGCACATGGACAAGGGGTAAACAATGTTAGCCGTACGCGAACGCTTAGTACGCGCAAGAACGTCTGACACGTTTTAAAGATCCGGTTTGGACCCTTAGCCCAAGCTGACGAAGGGGGGGGGGCAAGGGGGGTAGCTGGTACAGTTTTACGGGAAATAAAAAGGGCTTTTTACAATTTTTCAAGGAAAAAAAGACGTTTTTACAGTTTACAGTGAAAATTGAATTTTGCAGTGAATTGTCATCTAGTCGTTTTACAGTTTCGAAAATGTAATTTCCCTAGATTATTCTTTACTACTTGTTTTATTTGGATGTAAATTCTTGTACGTACCGAGAAAAATTACAAATTTTTACAGTGTACGAAAAAAATATTTGATTGATTACGTTGTACGTCTAGCCTGTGATTACAGAATTACGGAATTTTTTTTTTTTCAATTTACGTTGTACGAACAAAAAAATATTGCAATTACATTGAACGAAAATAACCCTTGTCCCCCCCCCCTCCGACGAAGTATACGCGAACGCTTTGGCGACCTTTGGAACAGAAATATTACGCACATGATCAAATATACATGTATATATATATATATATACAACTGTTTATTTCAAAAATGATACCAATTCTTAATGTATCTGGTACATCGTTCTATCGCAACCGGAGTGACGAAGAGACAAACGCCTTATTAAATGTATGGAAAGACAACGAAATCCTGAGACAGATGAATTCCACGCTATAGCCCTACCAGTGATTATTACACACACGTTTTGTCAATTACCGGACCATTGTGGTAGAGTATACGGCATCATGTCGCTCCAGTTATAGAGAAAATAAAATCTGCTGCGCCGTTGTGCTCTGTTTTGCTACATCCGAATAAATTGGGGTTGCCTTCTCGCACCTGTGAACGTCAACAGTCAAAAGAAATGGTTCCCTTAGCAAAACGACCACTTTTAAGTTTTGTAGGACCGCCTACATTTCCATTAAAAAACAAACCTACATAACTGCGTCGCTTTAAAATTATAACAAAACGTGATGTCAGCAACGGGAAAAGAACCACACACGTGTCATTCATTCTGTATAACAACATCTGGGCAAAGGTCACTGAGTGATGGCGCCCTTACGTCCGTACTTTAGTGTTGGTTCCCCAGACGTGGACGTAATTACTGCGTTCAGACTTTATACTTGGCACGTGCTGAAAACCCTTGGTAAAAATATCCAAGAGACTAGAACGTCAAACACCAACTTTTGTTGTATGCTTTCGTTTATATAAAGCGTGTTTCACTCCTATCAGCAATGTTAGAATGGTTCCGACCACCATCCGGTTTGAAGATTGTATTTAAGTGGCCTTGTAAGGTTGTGCGTTCTCATTGTGGAATAAGCTCGGTTATTAATCTATTTTTGGGATGCCCGGTGGCTAAGTGAAACCCGAGCTGGCCGTCAGCTAGGCGATTCTGTGTCATGTTTGCCAGTTTTGAATCACAAATGCATCCTAAATATATAACATTATGTTTTCTGTTAGTTATTATGTAAGTATAATGCTATGCAACTATTCGAGTTTACTCTTTTTTCCTTCCCCTTACTCTTCAACACGCCAATTGTACAATGTAAACGCATCATTGAGAAACCAAAACAATACAACATTTACAAACAATGATTTTTTGAGCAATAAGCAACTAAATGTTTCAATATGAAGAGAAAAGCCGGATGAGTATAAATCTGCCCTATTTATATTCGTATATGGATTCAATTACAACAGTTATATATAGTTATTGTTGATTTAGATGTATTCTAAACAGCTAGACCTCGATAACTTATCTGGGATCAGCGGAGACTGGTTGCAACATTCATACCAGGTGGCACATCAACATAAGTGTGGCATTAGTTTGCATTTTGAAATTTTCTGCTGCATATCATTTGGTAAGGAGCTTCACATGTATTATTCTGCCTCACGAGAAAACACTATGGGAATATACCTTCTCATTCACTTGTCATAACGAAACAAAACTCAGCAGACTGACAAAAATTACATTAAATATGCGAAAAAAGTGCCAGGACTTGTATAGCTAGTAAAGCTAGTAGATGTTAAACAATATATTTTTGAAGGTTAATAACTATGAACCAACATTCGTCACTCGTATTCTGGCTATTATTGTTTATGGTATATTTTACTAATTCTGCGAGATTATTTGATGGTTTCCGTGGAATAATGAATTATATTTCAATATTTGGAAGGGTGTTGGTATTTTAAAGTCAATAGATTTATGGTAAGAGCAACGAAATCGTACAAGTTTTGCTTGAGATTTTTACTGAAATTAAGAACTTATATATATTATGCACATCAGGTATTGTCTCAATCTACCAAATAGCGGTCTATACAGAGCCATAGTCCAATCAGATCATGTTACATGCACCTGCACACAGGTGCCATCCAATCAATGCCTCAACCAATTTATATATGCTTGTCCATTTATTCGAATGCAGTACCAGGTATGCCATCCCTAAAAGGATACTTCTTATTATTACATTGTTTGGGTCCTACCAGCGTCGACTAAGTTGAATAGGTTTGACAATGAATGCAATATGTGTCTGTCCACTTATGAGTTCTCAATTTCAAGGTATAGTTTCGATTAATAACTCAATGTCAATGTCAGGTTTAATAAAACACTTCGTAACATAGCCGCCTGCCAAGATGAAACGCATTAAAATTTAACCAGTTCACATCAAATAACACAAGAAGTATATTATAATCATAATCCTAAGAACACACTCTTTCAGTGATGGTAGCATATGAGGAAGAACACTTTTACTCCAACCATTATTTTATATTATAAGTTTTATAAATAATCGGCCACTATGTTACGATTCCCATGGATATTGATAATCCTATAATTATATGAATGAAGATGTAATGCCCGTCTCGTCTTTAAATACACCATAGCTGATGGTGTAGAGCAAGAATGTATCGAAGAGGTAACATGGGAATCATATTTAGTTATTCAAAAGAATGTTGGTTTTATGTGAGATCTGTCAGTAGACAGAAATAGCCACAGAACTTGTGTAGTTGTACTGCAGAATTCAAAAGAGCGTCAACTTTATCCCTAACAGTTTGCAGTTCTCCCCTCCCCAGCATGTGACCCAAAACCTTATAGCTGCGTAAAACATTTAAATGGTTTTGCAGTAAGCCCAGTCATCTCCAGGTCGTTCAAAAGTAAGTATTCTTCCGGGATTTCCAATCCTTAAATATTAGAATGTCATCTATGAAGTTAACTACATCATTCACGTACAATACAATATATATATCATCTGATTGAATGCCACAGGACTAGTACTGTTGACTAATTTGTACTGGAAAAGAATCTTGGGTATGATAAAGGCTGCTTTTGCCCCGGGCATGGAGGTATTTGTCAAAACCCTCTGGTTAGGTCGATCTTGGTTAAATTGTGAAAACGAAACTAATCAAGTTAGACCTGGACTTTTCATCCAAGTTATATAGTTCAATAAATCATTGAAGATGATAGTAATACATATGCATAACATCTTCAGAGAAAATGCCTTTATGTCACTAGTGATGAGTCTTTTAGCAAGATCGTTTCCGACACCGAAGGTGCTGTGACAAGTCATAGCATTGCTCCATTAAACGTTATATTGGTGAAATCTGACGCATGCATTTTCAGCAACGCCATTTCTGCGCAACTATTCATTCATTCTGGAATGCAAGCCAATGCACGAATAATTACCCAGCATGGTCGCCCATTTATGTCTTAAAATATTAGATAAAGACCTTGTGAAAAATGAAGATCAATGATGTCAGATATTTCAGATTCCATGGAAACACATTTCTTGAAATTGTTTGTGGATGAAACTGTAAATGATGTAAACAGTGGCAATATATAACCAAGTCGGCTAACCCCCAATCTCACCAATTTTCCACCCAAAGAGGATGTTTTTTAGAAAACATAACGTGATACAAATAACGAGAATATTACATGAAAACTTATTTTCTCCAGCAAATGTGACAATTAGTATAACAAATATTTATATATATTTTTTTGTCAGTATTCTTATTGGATTTACTGATTGATCTAACTTTCAGAATATGTATTATTGTGTTGTACAACACAATCTTGATAAGGTCAATGAAAATATTTTTGTTACTGATACTACTTATTCAATCTACATAAAAATGTGACCAAAGTTCTAAAAAGAGACACAGCCGAGAGAAGATGAAGTTGACGAAGATGAAGAACCGTATTTATTATTTATAGAAGAACAAGTTCGCACAAATATGAAAGTCATTATTTACACGTGATTATTTTAGCACGTGACAACACAGATGGCGGACCTTGTAAACATGATTAAATCCAGGATGGCGAGAGCACACTGTAATTTACGTGTGGAAACATACCAGTGGTATTCCATTGGCCGCCAATGTCACGATAACCTGGTTAAAAAATGCCAAGATGAATATGAAGGCCCTTCTTAGTGTTTGAATCTATCTACCATTTTGAGGTGTTTCTACTTGTTGAAC